TCAAACTACCACTGGCATTTTTCACAGAACTAGAACAAAAAATTTCACAATTTGTATGGAAACACAAAAGACCCCGAATAGCCAAAGCAATCTTGAGAAAGAAAAACAGAGCTGGAGGAATCAGGCTCCTGGACTTCAGAGTATACTACAAATCTGCAGTAATCAAGACAGTAATGGTACTGGCACAAAAACAGAAATACAGATCAATGGAACAGGATAGAAAGCCAGAGACAAACCCACACACATATAGTCACCTTATCTTTGATAAAGGAGGCAAGAATATACAATGGAGAAACGACAGCCTCTTCAATAATTGGTGCTGGGAAAACTGGACAGCTACATGTAAAAGAATGAAATTAGGACACTCCCTAACACCATACACGAAAATAAACTGAAAATTGATTAAAGACCTAAGTGTAAGGCCAGACACTATCAAACTCTTAGAGGAAAACATAGGCAGAACACTCTGACATACATCACAGCAAAATCCTTTCAGACCCACCTCCTAGAGAAATGGAAATAAAAACAAAAATAAGCAAATGGGACCTAATGAAACTTAAAAGTTTTCAACACCAAAGGAAACCAAAAACAAGATGAAAAGACAACCCTCAGAATGGGAGAAAATATTTGCAAACAAATCAACGGACAAAGGATTAATCTCCAAAATATACAGGCAGCTCAATATCAAAAAAACAAACAACCCAATCCAAAAATGGGCAGAAGACCTAAATAGACATTTCTCCAAAGAAGACATACAGATTGCCAACAAACACATGAAAGGATGCTCAACATCACTAATCATTAGAGAAGTGCAAATCAAACCTACAATGAGTATCGCCTCACACCGGTCAGAATGGCCATCAAAAAATCTACAAACAATAAATGCTGGAGAGGGTGTGGAGAAAAGGGAACCCTCTTGTGCTGTTGGTGGGAATGTAAATTGATACAGCCGCTATGGAGAATAGTATGGAGGTTCCTTAAAAAACTAAAAATAGAACTACCATACGACCCAGCAATTCTACCACTCAGCATATACCCTGAGAAAACCATACATCAAAAAGAGTCATGTACCACAATGTTCACTGTAGCTCTATTTACTATAGCCAGGACATGGAAGCAACCTAAGTGTCCATCGACAGATGAATGGTTAAAGAAGATGTGGCACATATATACAATGGAATATTACTCAGCCATAAAAAGAAACGAAATTGAGTTATTTGTAGTGAGGTGGACGGACCTAGAGTCTGTCATACAGAGTGAAGTAAGTCAGAAAGAGGAAAGCAAATACCATATGCTAACACATATATATGGAATCTAAAAAAAAGAAAGAAAAAAAATGGTTCTGAAGAACCTAGGGGCAGGACAGGTATAAAGACGCAGACACAGAGAATGGACTTGAGGACACGGGGAGGGGGAAAGGTAAGCTGGGACGAAGTGAGACAGTGGCATGGACTTATATACACTACCAAATGTAAAACAGATAGCTAGTGGGAAGCAGCCACATAGCACAGGGAGATCAGCTCGGTGCTTTGTGTCCACCTAGAGGGGTGGGATAGGGAGGGTGGGAGGGAGTCGCAAGAGGGAGGAGATATGGGGATATATGTATATGTATAGCTGATTCACTTTGTTATACAGCAGAAACTAACACACCATTGTAAAGCAATTATACTCCAATAAAGATGTTAAAAAAAAGAAAGTATTTCTGTAGATTTTCCTTTTTTTCTCTTATGTTCTTCCTATTTTGCTTCGTATTTAATTTTGAGAAAGCTTGTCTTGGATTGTTACAAAACATTTACTGTGCTGGGAAAAAATCATGCTGGAACCAACACAACTTCTGGGTTAAGCTAACATCATTTCTAAATGCACGTGAAGTAATTATGGCAGAGAAACACATATGTTGCTGGACAGATAGATTGGTAAATGGCTGACCCAGGTACTGGCATATGTGACCTGAGTTTGTAGTAGGAGTAGTTGTAATAGTTGTAATGATGACAGCTAGCAGCATATACTTAGGCTCATTATGTGCCAGGCATGATGCTATAAACACTTAGTATGGATTATCTCCTTTATTCACACAGACTCTATAAAGTAGATAAAGAAATAGATACTTAGAAAGATTAAACATTTATCTCTGCCCAAGGTTATAAAGTCGTTAAGTGGTGAAGCTAGGATTTGAACCTAGATCTTTCTGACTCTAAGGCTTCAGCTTTTAATAACCACAATAAAATAATATTTCTCATCTAATGAAAGTGTGATGTGATTTTGCAGTAGTAAATGCAAATGCAGCCCACTGGTCTTTATCCAGCCGGCATATGTAAACACAAATGTTGATGATGTACCTAGAAAACCACTGAACATTAGAGAGTGCTTATAATTTTTGCAGATTTAAATTTTCTGGCTAAGCTGGTGAGGGAAATCTTTGCACATGGCCAAAGGAGAATTCCAGAAGTGTGACACATTCTCAGTTCTTTCCAGCTGAGTCAGAGGCTGCTGTGATGACTCAGGCTATGCGAGGGCCTTGGAATGGATACTCAGGCACACTTCTGAATTCCACACACGCATCAGACTGTATGGGATGGGGTTGGAGGTAATTATGACCAGGGAATTCATACTCAATGAGATCTAGGACTTCAGGCATGGATGCCAACCAAATAATTTTGGTGAAATTTTGACTTTTCATTTAAGTTCTATTTAACAACTATGAATTATTCACTCACCACATGACTGGAATTAACTATGCCAAGTGTTGGAGCTACAAAACGGAATAAACTATCAAGACCTCACAAGCCCATGGAGCTAAATGTAGGCATTTCATTGAACATACTCCATGCTGGGCACTCTTCTTGGCACTTTACATGTATTAACTCATTTAATTCTCACAACCCTATTATATATGGACTGATGTTCTCTCTATTTTATAGATGATGAAACTGAGGTGCACAGAGGTTAAGAAACTTGCTGAGCAATTTGGACCTAGGATTTGGACCTAGGCTGTTTGAGTCTGGAACCTACGTTCTTAGCCTCTTCCCTAAACTGTCTGTAGCAGAGGGAGACAGAGAGGTTAAAAGTAATTGTAATGCGGGGCTTTAAGAAAAATTATAGACATATGTATACAATGGAATATTAGTAGAGGAGAAAGTGACTAATGCTGCCCCGGGTACTAGGGAGGATGGCAGTCTGGGAGTAGTGCCAGTTCAGCAAATCCTTCCTAGTGGATGTCAAATGGCTGTCAGGGACAGCAGATGAAACAGCACAGGCAAAGGCACGGAGGTGGGAAATGGCCTGGCGTGCCTGCAGGTTGCTACTGTTGAAATCGAAAGGCAATAAGGGGGCTTCTCTGGTGGCGCAGTGGTTAAGAATCTGCCTGCCAACACAGGGGACACGGGTTCGAGCCCTGGTCCGGGAAGATCCCACATGCCGTGGAGCATGTAAGCCCATGCGCCACAACTACTGAGCCTGCGTTCTAGAGCCCGCGAGCCACAACTACTGAAGCCTGTGCTCCTAGAGCCCGTGCTCCGCAACAAGAGAAGCCACCGCAATGAGAAGCCCGCGCATCACAAAGAAGAGTAGCCCCCACTCGCCACAACTAGAGAAAGGCTGCGCGCAGCAGCGAAGACCCAACGCAGCCAAAAATAAATAAATAAAAGAAAGGCAATAGGGTAGTCGGCAGGAGATGAGTGCATAGAAGGAGAGAGATCAAGGAGAGGAAGAATTTCATTCTGTGAATTGGCCATACCAAGGGGTATGGGCTCCTTAGTTTTCAGGTGGGAAATATTGAAATATGTTTTAAACGGGGTGGTGTGGTGGTGGTAATGTAACACTCGATTTGCCCTTTTGAATCTAGCTGGGGTTGAGAGGTAAGGAAGGAGGGCAAAACCTACACGGAGGGTCTCCCAGTGAGAAACCAAGGCCCTGGTGACGGGAATGGGGAAGGAAGGGTGAGTGGAGAGATTTTCTGAGGTCCACTGACCTGTTGATTCAGGTGGGTGGTTTGGGAGAGGAGGTTTGTTCATTAGAGTAAAGCTTGATTCTCATGAAAGCCCTCACTACGTGATTTAAGTCAGCTCTACACCCTTGCCCAGGAATTTGGACTTAAAGGCCACTACATTTATAGATGTATGGGACGTGACTGAGGTTAAACACCTAATTCTCAGTATCATTATTTTCACCTTCCTTCCTGTAGTGACAAGAGCTCCCCACCCCCTGCAGAAAACAGCAATGCTTTACTCTGCTGCTGACTATGGGTTTCATAATATATCATACATGGTCCCAGAGCAACTCTGCCTATTAGCTGGGGATGCCCACTGACAGATAATTACCACCTGCTGTTCCTGCACTGTAATAATGATCATTTATCTCCTTTTACTTTATTTCTTTAAAAAAAAAATTGCTTATTTGGTTGCACCGGGTCTTAGCTGCAGCACGTGGGCTCCTTAGTTGTGGCATGCGAACTCTTAGTTGCGACATGCATGTGGGATCTAGTTCCCTAACCAGGGATCGAACCCAGGCCCCCCCGCATTGGGAGTGCAGAGTCTTATCCACTGCGCCACCAGGGAAGTCCCCACCTTTTACCTTGTTTCTTGAAGTAACATTCAAAGATAGATAAGTTACCCTACTCCTAAGATCAGTGGAGAAAACCAAGAACCAAAAGCCAAAAAGTAGTTATATTTCCATGCTTACAGCCTTCTCCTCACCTTCAGCTGGTTGGTACCTGCCTCTCTGCTCTATCCCACATACTAACGGGGAAGCTCTCGGGCTCTGTGGAGCCCGAGGAATGTTTAGGAGCAGAGTCCACTCAGCGAAGGGCGAGGCCACAGCTGGGAAGATGACTCACGCTGGATCCAGAGAGAAAACAAATGGTCTCAGAAATTTGGTGGTGATGGGTAATGGTGGGGGAGGAAGATACAGGGAGAGGGGCCACTGCCTTTTCCAGGAAATTGGTTACTGAAATAATTCTAGTGGGAAAAGAATTGTTAAAAAAAAAAAAAAAGCCCACTTACTGACACAAGAAATCAGATCATTAAATCTTTCCTTAGGAAAGAGGGGGTTTTCCAGCCCACGGAAGTAGAGCTTTAGAACGCCAGCAACTGAGTTAATATCATGGTTACTCTGCTCGTCAGCCAAAGGGTTTTCACCTAAAAATAAAAAAAAACAAAACAAAAAAGAAAAATTAGTTACATGCACATTGCTTCTCTTTTTATCTCTGAACAAAAATATGTTTCTATACTCACACACACATTTCTATATATACATGTATCTTTTAATTATGTTTTATGGAAGATTATATGCTACTAAAATTAAAATAACTAGTTTAGATATCCTACCCCATGATTAACCTAAAAATAGTTGGTTAAAATAAAGCTTTTTTTTTTTTTTTATCATATGCTACCAAATAATCCCTTACAAATTACCTAAATCTTAAAATAAAATACTGTGGGATTTATAATTGGACCCAACTTTTTTTTTAAAGCTAATATCTGTTATATTAGGTTGATATAAATTCAAATACTATATTCTGTGTTTCTTATTCTACTGGGGAAAAGAAACAATATAGGTCTGTCTGGCTATGCTATATGGATCAGCAAAATTTATCAGAAATACTACAGGACTCACCTAATTGTGAATACTGACAATTAAATAAATACTTCTCAAAGTGGCATGGTGGTGTTCACAGCAGACTTGAAAGCTGCTTTCAGCAGTGGGAGATTTTGAAATCAGAGAGAGGAATTTGAAAATGTACCTTAACAGTACCAAGGAATTTGCATAAAAAGTGGAAAATTTAAAAATATATCACAAACATGAAATTATTCTTTATGCTAAGCACTTTAAAATGATCAGGTAACTGACGTGGCTTGTCCACCTCCCTGAGAATCAAACTGAAATAAAATCCTTAAGAAGTTCAACATAATGTGCAGCCTTAAATCAAACTCCGTTTTTTTATTCACAGGTCTGCTCTTCTAAAGTTCACAAAAATTGTACATTGAATTTTAACTTTTTTTTTTTTTTTTTTGCCTGTTGGGGCAGCTTACTTTCAGGGACCTGTGGTTCCTTTTTCTCTGCTTCAAGGGTAGGAAATCATTGAACACGAATTCGCCAAAATATTTTCTTTTTGCCCACTGTGAGAAAGCCTTACCCAAAGGGATCACAAACAAACAACATACTAGGGGAATGTTCAAGGAAAAATAATAAAGCATTTTTGCTTGCAGTGGCTGGCACAGGAACCTGAGGCTTTACTACATTTCAATTTATCTTGAATATGGTCCATGTAAGAGACTTGGACACTTAGCCCTTGAGAGGGGAGGCCGCTCGGCTCTATGCACTGTAAGAGGCTTTGGAAGAGGAAAAACAATCTGGCTCCAAGTTCACCTCTTTACCCAAGGTTTCAAACTGGCTCTGTGTCAAGTCTGGGTTAGGGCAAATGGGACCAAGAGGGGTTGCCTTGTCTCCAAGCCTTGATGTCCCTGCCTCTGCATCCTTGGCTTGACTTCCAAGCAGAGGCAGGAAGGTGCAGATGTATCCAGAAGCAGACACAATACAAATCATTATAACTGGAGAGCATTATTAGCTAAGACCCACTACTAAAGAGTTAGGAACTTTCACGGATTATACCCAATTCTCACACCAGTCCTGGGATTCTGCAGATGAGGAAACCGAGGCCAGAATAAGAGATGAGTCACTTGACCCAAATCACATGATTAGTAAATGCAAGAGTGTGATTTGCTTCTAGGTCCGCTTGATGCTAAAGTGTACGGTTTTGCTAATAATAATGTTTAGGAGGACTTATTTAGCCAATTGGGAATAAGAGTAAGGCACCAACTAAGGTCACAGGGAAGGAGTCTGGGGATGGTAATAAGAGGAAGAAGAGTTCCTGACAAAGGAAACAGACATGAAGCTGGGATGAGTCACCTCAAACAGTTGCTATGCAGGCCCAGGGCTGTTCTTGCCACTCTTCTAGAACCTTTCATGAGCCACATTTGACAATGTGCTGAGGATTATCAATGCCAGTCCTAAACCAGGATACAAAACTCATATGCTTTTCTAGACTTGATAACAAAGTCTTATGATTTTGGCTTCATTTCTTAGCTATTCTAAATAGATTCTTAACTCAACATCCACAACGAAATAAATGCAGAGAAAGGTTTTGAAGATATACAGAATAAGTATGCCACTTCACTCTACAGAAAATGATGACTTTTTAACAAGGTTTGCTTATAGGTGCAGACGTGCAAGTACCTCTCTCAAATGAATTTTTAATATCATTGACTTCCACCTGGGAACCAGACACTCTGAAAATCCCCTGATGCTGAAGACCTAAAGAGAACAGAAGGGA